AAAAAAGGGCTAGGAATACAGCTCAGTGTGAAGGCCCTGGATTATACAATCCCCAGTAGTGAGAGGTGGGAGAGGGGTGTATCAGAGAAGTGGAATGAACTGACATCTATTCCTCCTGAGAGCTGGTATATTGATAAGGACACATTATGTAAATTCCTACTCATAGTGTATACTACGAGGAAATAATTAGCTGATTCAAACTGATTGCATCCACATCAAATGATCTGTGCCTTTCAAAATGTGTCAATACCAAGAAAAGACAGAGATTCAGCTAGAATAAGCCTATAACTCCAACACTCATGGGAGGCGGAGGCAGTTGGGGCCCAGCCTGGATAATTTAGCAACCTAGTGGGACTCTCCACATTTTAAAAAGGGCTGGGGCTGTTGCTCAGTGTTAAGGTCCTGAGTTTAATCCCAAGTACCACCCCTCCCCCCAAAAAGCAAAGGAAATATACTCAGATGAAAGAGGAAAATTCCCATACTGTTAATACCAAAAAATACCCCTAAATTAGCTTTAATTTGACCCTATATGGAAAATAAACTATTAGGTATTGAGACAGGGAAAATTGAACATGGGCTATATATCATAGGGTGGTATTGTTAAATTTCCTGATTTGGCATGTTTTAGTAATATAAGATGCTGCTGAATTGTTTAGCGTGCATGTCATGTTGATCAGAAGAACGTGTGCATACTTGGAATGTGCAACATAAAATGTTGATATGGTGTTCTGTGTATATGTGTTTGTACATTATACTCATAGTTTAATAGGTTTGAAAAGTTCAGTAAATTGAGGAAAAAATTAATTCACTTAGATAACTAGCATAATATAAAATATGACCATTTTGCCTACCTGGGAATTACAATTTAAGTGCTGTAATTTGAAAGTATGCCCCCCCAAATTATGTTGGCAACAACCCCAAAGCAAATCTTGGGATGCTAATGCAAAGTGTTAAATGCAGCCTGTCATGACTGGATTCATGCCAAATGCTCTAGGCTGCAAGTTCAGCCTATTTTCTTGCCCACTTTTTGCCCTTCTGCTTGGGATACAAGAAGGCTCTTGTGAGGTGTCAGCCATTGGACTTTTAAGTCTCCACAGTTGTGAGCCAATAAATTTCAAAAATTTATCCAGTCAAGCATCTGGTTAGAGCAGCACAAAATGGACTAAGATAAGATTGCTATTTATTTTGGTCACCCCAATTCCCTTTTGCTGTCCGGAAAACCCGAGTCATTTTTTGATCCATTTCTCCTTAGATTCCTTTTCTGAGTGCAGTGATGAACACCTGTAATTCTAGGTACTTAAAGGCTGAGGTAGGATCACTTAAGCCCAAATTTTGAGTTATTTAGGCAACATAGGGAGTTCTCCTCTTCATGCCGTTAAAAAAAAAAAAATCCACCTTTAACCAATCAACTTTATTCGCTGGGTCTGGACTAGCACCCCCCACGTGCTGTACAATAAGGGCATATTGATTTAAAACAGAAGGAATTTAGCTGGGCGTGGTGGCACACACCTATAATCCCAGCACTTGGGGAGGCCAAGGCAGGAGGATTGCTGAGTTTGAGACCAGCCTGAGCTACATAGTGAGACCCTGTCTCAAACAAACAAACAAAAAACCCAACCAAACAAAACAACAAAAAACAGAAGTAATTTGAATCTCTGTAGTGGACAAATGATCCAGATATTTAGACAGTGGAAAAGAATTGGCAAGATTTAGTGTTTATGTACTAAACAGTGTCCTAGGAAAAAATACTGAAAGAAAACTTTTTGGCCTTACAAAGCTGATGTTTTAGTGGGGGGAGAATAAATCGTGGCAATAAATGCTACTGCTTTTCCCTAAAAATAACATTTAACTGGAAAATAAGCTCTAGCATTTTTCAGGATGCTCCTAATGTAAATTCTATTCCCAAACTAAGCCTGTTAAGATGGCCAGCCAGATGGATGCATTTGGTCTGTCTGCTGCAACACACAATGGATCTGTTGAATTAGGATAGTATTTATAGGTATATTTAATTAGTATTCGTAAATGCCTTACACTTATGTAAACCTCAAGACTGTCAAATGACCATTTGGCAGTATAGACACAACACGCAATGTATACACTTCCCAGTGAATAGTTGTGATCTAATACGAATCTTCATGTGTTGTGATGGATATACTTAATGCACTCATGTGAAACTGTTTTCCAAATTCTGATGCCTACAGTTTTGTCACTTGTGTGGACCATCAGTCTTAACTGTCACCATTTTTGTTGCCACTCATTTCCTAAGTCTTCAGTTAATGATGTAATGGAACTTTACAAAGGCTAGCCTGCAAGGAATGATTTGGATGAACTGATGAAATAAAATCACCAACAGCTATATTGCCAGTGCAGTAGGAGCAGTCTACATGGACAAGTAGTGCTCATTTAAGGAATGCTCAGTTGCTGGACATGAGAGACCGGGGCCATCAGGTCTACAGAAAATAAGAGTTGCAAGAAATTAAGAATGGAATTCAAGGTTTAGTTAGAATGATGTTCCAGATGATATGGCTGTATTTGAATATAGATTTTTCTACATTGATTTTTGTATATAAGTGATTGTTGTACATAAAAAGGACATGCCCTGAAAACAACCCTATTGTGTATTTTGGAGCAAAAATAGACTTAGTATTTTCAGAGAAACACAGCAAAAAAAGTTAAGAAAAGGAAATGACAGGGACTTTAGGAGCTATGTAACATTTCATAATTGTTAAAGAAAAAAGCCTGAGGTTAGCCAGGTGTGGTGGTGCATGCATGTAATCCCAACATTTGGGAGGCCAAAGCAGGAAGATCACACTGAGTTCAAGATCAGCCTGGGCTACATAATGAGTTCAAGGCCAGCCTGAACTATATATACACACACATAGTAAGGCCCTGTCTCAAAATAATACCTGAGGTCGAACCAAAGTATAAATGTTGGGAAGATTGTTCTGCCATGGATAAAGTCCACAAGATAAAAATGGCAGGGGAAGGTAGTGAGGGACTATATAGATGAAGCCTTGGGAGAGAATCTGACTGTTGTTGCAAAAAAGATCCAGGTAGCAACTAAGTGTGGTTAAAAATATGGAGTAATTAATCCAAGTGGTAATTCACAATAAAATAGTGAAGATGCTAATTCTTAGGTACTTTGCTAAAATTTGTTGACTGTTTTCATTTGCATGACCACAAGCAACACACTGTTACTTTAGAACTGCAAAGATCAAGAAAAGCAAACTGGAATTAAAAAAAAAAAAAAAAGTGAAACGATCTCATGAAGCAGTAAAAGGAGACTTTAAAGCAGTTCACTCTGCCCAAAGTGTATGGGCATCATCTCGCCAGAAAAGGGCACAAACAAAAAAACAAAAAGCAAAGTTAAGTTGGAATTCTGTGCCTGCTTTGTCTGAGGCATAGGGTTTACACTACTGGTGTTTTGGCATCTTCTAGCCAGTAAAATTTCTCAGGATCCATAATTGTTAACTAATTCCTTATAGTAAAATCTCTCTAAAGTGTTAGTAGCTTCACAGTAGGTAAATAAAATTGGTGTTCACGCTACTGCACAGCTTGAGAATTGTTAGGGTTTCCTGTACAAGCAGCTTTTATTCCTTTTTTTCTAGAATACAAATTTTGCTCAGAGGATGCATGGCTCTTTGGATACCAAGGATGAACCTCGATGAATGTATTCTAATTCTCAATTGGGGTACTCTGGGAATAATGGAGAATGTTTTTAGCAGCCATATTATTAGAGCACAGTAGAGGGATTCAGTTGGCAAGGGCCAAGCAGAAATGCTAAATATCTTCCAACGCACAAGACAATCCTTCATAATTAAGAACCATTTTCATATGGTTAATAATGAACATGGAATTTCCCAGGAATGTCATTACCATATGTGTGAACCACTCCCATTGTATTAGAGCATTAAACTCATTTCTTAGATGGACCTTAAAAAAAAAAAAAAGACATTAAAAAGGAGGTATTCCAGTCTAAGGTCATCTTCTCAAGTGTCCATGAAACAAGAAGGGACATCTACAGGGAGACTTGGGAAATATCTGATCACTTAATAGGATGTAATAATGATATGGTCACCATTCCAACTTAAGGCATCAGCCCTGAGGACAATGGGAGAGGGGGACATAAAAAGAATTAAGATGTGTTATGTACATGTACAAATTCCCCATAGTGAACAGTCATTATGTACTATAAGCGTGTACTACTAATAATAAAAAGGTACTGAGGACGAGGACCTTGTGCTTGTGAGGCACACAGTGCCCCTGAGGTAAAGAGCCCAAGGATAAAAATTTTAAAAGAAAAATTTGGGACAAGTCAAGGAACCAAGGTTCCTCTTAAGTTTAAGTCACTGAATCATATTGGTACTTAATAAATTTTCTTTAATAGAAAGAAGCCAATTCTACTGTTTTGCAATGACTGAAAGCAATCTGCAAGTGACAGCCTTCGTTTTAAATATTAAATAAAAACCTTGTAACCAGATTTGCCTACGATGGCATATTATACTAGTCCTTCTCAATTTTGCAATTTGCATTTTTAGTCACTATTACAAAATCCTGTTTCCCTCTTCCCTTGGGAAATGCAGAAAAATGTAGAAGTTTAGTCCCTTTAAACAAGGTGCTTTTTACGTTTATTTAAAAAAAAAATGCAGAATGGATTAAAAAGAACGAAGGTTCTAGTCACAGGCCAGCAGGCAGCTAAAAAGTAAGCCTTAAGAACACCAGTGACTTCATCAGTGCCTTGTTTTAAAAGCAAAACCTATCAAATACCTTAGTTTTCTATTGCCTTATTTCCTCTGCCCCACGTACATGGCACAGCTAGCTGACTTATGGACTCTGTATCCACACGTCATTCCTTACAGCAGATTTTTTGGCCAACAAGGATCTTCATATCCCCATATGGTCTCCTTCCAGGTCCACGGTCCACCTCTTCTATTGAATGTGAAATGGTTTTACCCCTTAAAAATATGGCTACTTCAGCACAAACCAATGCTAAGTCTTTATAATGATCAGTAATTAATCATCCTATTCCCTTTACATGCAACTGAAAAATGACAGGCTAACGACAGAACAATGTGAACTCTGTACTGTTAGAATTATCATCCATTAAAAGATCATTAGCTAATGGTCACTAAATTTACATATTAAGGAAATTATATATAGAATACTGCAAAAACACAGTAAAAAGACTGAAGTTTGCCCATTTCTGCTCAGGAAGTCCTCCCAAGCTTCATAGTACGTTGTCCTTTTGACTCCAAAATATACTGCTATTACTGTTTCTCCTCCTTTTGATCTTCCTTTGGTTCTCCAGTGCCAGAACTTCCAGAGCCTTCTCTTTCAGATGCCATCTGTTAAAACATTTGAGAATCACATACTTAATGTTAAGCAAAAGTTTGCTCTCTGCTTAACACCAAAACATAGGAAGAATATATTATCTAATCCTATGCCTTTTTAATTTCACTCCCTAGCCATACAGCATCGATGTTTCCCAGGATGCCTTAGTTCTTTTTTGACACTATTCCCATGCCCCAAATAGTCAAGAGAGCACAAAGGTATTTCTAACTCTTAATAATCACTTTATGGAGGAAGCCACCAATGGTGATAATTAAGAGCAGTTACAATCAAATATTATCAGGACCAACACACCCTTCAGCCCTGTACCTTTTTGTATGCCATTTCGAAGAGCTTCAGTGATGCCTGCTGGAGGGAAGATGCTGCCTGCCTGATGTTTTCTCCTGTTTCACTGTCTTTTCGAGCCAAGAGCTCCCTCATTTTGGAAATCTCCTCCTTTAGCTTGTTGCACTTAAAATAGAACAAAAATTCTCACTTTTCCAAGTCTCTCAATACATGTAGCAGTAATATTCAGAATGTTTTAGAACCTGAATCAGCGAAATGAACTTCACTGATGTTTCTAATTTCCTGAGTTGTTTTAAAACTCACCTCATCAGCAGGCAGTTGGTCCTTGAACTCTTCCATCTTTGTTTCTGTGTCATGAATTATTCCTTCAGCCATATTAACTGCTTCAACTCGTTCCTTAGAGAAATTAAAAGTTTAATATGAGACTTTGTAGGGCTGGGGATTTAGCTCAGTGGTTCCGCTGCCTGCCTTGCAAGCCCAAGGTCCCAAGTTCAATCCCTGGTACCAAAAAAACAAAACCAAAAAACAACAAAAACAAAACACTGCAATCAATCACAGTTTGCTGATCCATGGTGAGCAAGATGAGTGATCTGTTACACATTAGTGAAAGTGAGAAATCACACTGGTTTGAGGTAGTATGGGGTAGCTTTAAGCTGGATTCTGTAAATGTGTGAAGACTAAAGAAAAACATTCTATGCCAGGCACTGTGTTGCACTTGGGAGGTTAGAGCACAAAGATCACTTTGGGCAACAGATCTCTCTTGGAAGAGAAGAAAAAAGGTACTTCATACATACGCAAAGGGGAAGGAAGGGTAGATTGGGAGAAAATACGAAGATAGCACCATGTCCAAATTCCAATTTTATGTTCCACCTTTAAGATTACAGAACTCAGGCAAGCCAGGCGTGGTGTTGCACGCCTGTAATCCCAGCACTCAGGAGGCTGAGGCAGGAGGATTGTTGTGAGTTTGAGCCAGCTTGGGCTACCTAGTGAGTTCCAGGTCAGTCTCAGCTACAGAGTGAGACTGTCTCAAAAAAGCCAAAAAAAAAAAAAATTAAAAAATAAAATAAAAAACAGGCAAAATTACCTTCTTTCGCCGGTCTTCCTCAGCATACTTCTCTGCGTTTTTAACCATATTTTCAATATCATCTTTGCTTAAACCACCAGAAGACTGGATTACAACTGTAATAAAAAGCCATTTCATTATTTATTAATATATTTATTGAGGCAGGGCTTCACTATGTAGTTTAGGCTGACCTTGAACTATGTATGTAGCTCAGGCTGGCCACAAACCTGTGGCTATCCACCTGCCTCAGCCTCCCAAATGCTGGGATTACATGCATGTGCCACCATGCCCAGCTTCATTAGTTTTTAGATAAAACTGTGCTCACTTTGGCAGCTCGCTCTGGCTTTTAGGTAAGATGATGATCAACTGGGCTTTCTAAGGAAGTCTACTGAAACTTAAATCCAGATGCTCTTGTCTGTATGGTTTGGTGCTCCTATTACACTTGGAAAGAGAAACCTCAAAATGGGCATGTCACAAAAACGGTCTCTTTCCCAACAGAGGTCTCACCTTAATCTTACAGTTTAGTAGGTGGGCATGGGGGGGGGCTGAGACAGGAGGATTGCTGTGAGTTCAAGACAAACCTGGGCTACATACATAGTTCCAGTTCAGTCTCAACTACATAGTGAGACCCTGTCTCAAAACAAAACAAAACAAAAAAAACAAAAAAATCTTACAGTCTAGTAAATGAAGACTTACTCTGCTGCTCGCGTCCTGTACCCTTATCTTTGGCAGAAACATGTACAATCCCATTGGCATCAATGTCAAATGTAACTTCGATCTGAGGGACTCCACGAGGGGCTGGGGGAATGCCAACCTAAAATAAAGACCTTGAGTAAGCTCCTTTCAGAGGGGCCCAAATGTCATTACTTCCAGATATTTATGGCTAGCAAGTGAACAAATCACTTGTTTCTTATGAAGAAGTGATATTTTCACTTAGCATAAAAAAAGTTTTTGGGTGAGGGCAGTAGTTTCATTGTTGCCTGAAATCAGGGATCATACCAGTGAAAGTTATAGTAACTAACCATGATGGCTTAAGACCCCAGAGACAGGGAAATCACCCAACTACAATTCATAGCACCAAGAATCAAAAATCAGGGCTGATCGGGAAAGTACCAAATTATCTCTTAAATGAGTAATCAGGGGTTGAGGACTTAGCTCAGTGGTGCTGTGCCTGCCTCCTAAGTGTAAGGTCCTGAATTTGATCACTGGTACTGAAAAAAATGAGTAATCAGAAGGAATTTTCCCGAATTAGCACTGTTAGTAAGTTCTTAAAGCACAAAGCATAAGCAAACTTCTCAGGTAAAACAAAAGCCAAGAATTCACCTACATAACTTCTTTGGAGTAACACAGTCTATATGTATATGCCAGCAATGTATAGATGTGTTGGAATACTGTTTAACTGTACAATGAAGAGCTTGTGGAACATATTAAAATTAATTATACCTACCAAAGTAAATTGCCCAAGAAGCTTGTTGTCTCCAGCCATCTCTCTCTCACCCTGACACACTTTAATCTCCACTTGAGTCTGTCCATCAGCAGCAGTAGAAAACACCTGAGAAGAAAACTTCCTGGGTTAGCATTCTGATTAAACTGTTCTATTTGTAAAGAAAAGCAAATCAGAAAACTCAGATCCCATGGACTGGGGATTCAGCTCAGTGGTATAGCATCTGCTTGGCAAGCACGAGGTCCTGAGTTTGATCCCTGGTACGGGGAAAAACAAAAAAGCAAAACAAACAAAAATTCATATCCTAACACTGGAAGCATCCCAATGTACACTATGCTTATAACAAAGGCTTATGTCTTTACAGGGACTAGGAGTAGGATTAGTACAGCAAAAAGGCACACAACAGCTATTTTAATTTTGCAAATACACTGTACAAAGATGCAGCAAATGCACAGAAGGGGTCAACATGAGGAGCCAAAATGTTGAAGCACCGTAATCTGGGAAAATAAGGATCAGTGGCAAATGCATCTTGTGCTCAGTCACAGAAGTCACCACAGTTTTCTTCAGAATGATGTGTTGACAAATACCATCACTGCACAAATACAACTCTAGCCAACATTAAAAAAAAAAAAAAATTGAAAAACTCACAAAATAATTCTTAATCCAAGACCAAGGCATGCCTGAATAGCCCTGCTTAGTATCTCAGTATCCTTCCCACCCCCATCAATCCCCATGGCTACAGCCAGGCTTTTCTCCTGCCTCTGAGAAGACTGCAGTAAAACTGGTACCAAATGGTGTGACTTTTTAAAAGCCAAGGCTATTAATATCCTCCCTAAAATCATGACTGCAGATGTAAGAACTCTTTCAGGAACAACAAGATACTCAGCCAGGTGTGGCAGCACACACCTGAAATCCCAGGCTGAGGCAGGATTGCCTTGAGTCTGAGGCCAGCCAACACTGTATCTACATAGTGGCTCAAGTCTAGCCTGAACTATGCAGCAAGACAGGTCACAAAAAAATCAGAAAGACAAGATTCTTACCACTTAAGGTCAACTAATCTAGACTGCAAACAAAGCGACTGTTTAATGAAAGGCAGAATGTCTGTAGTCATGCCACTTGCAGACCCTAATACTTCTGTGATGAGGCAGGGAATGAATGGCACTCTTACCTGGCTCTTCTTGGTTGGAATAGTGGTATTCCTGTTAATAAGTTTGGTAAAGACACCTCCCAGAGTCTCAATACCCAGAGACAGAGGAGTGACATCCAGGAGCAGCACATCTGTGACATCACCAGCCAACACACCTCCTTGAATCGCAGCTCCAATGGCCACAGCCTCGTCAGGATTAACAGCTTTACTTGGAGCTCGGCCAAAAAGATCCTGTACAGTCTGCTGAACCTGAGCATTAAGGAAAAAGAACCTGTTACCCAACACTTAGGAAAAACTGCCTAAAACAGACAACATGTCCTAAGATACCAGTGAAATTTCAAGTAGGCTGGTTCAGATCCAAAAATATTTACTCAAATTTTTATTTTATGGTTGAGTTCTTACTAGTCTGAAAATACACTCTGATCACTGCACTTTTACTTAAGTAGATAATCTGTTTTCCCACACAAAAACAATTTACAATAAACATTATCAAATGAAGTCCAATTTAAAGGAAGCAGTAGGGATAACTCAATACTGTTGGCTAATATGGGACATCCTTCCAGCCTGTTTGTTAGTGTTAAAAGTGCTAGTTAGCATCCTTCATAATTTCTTAATATAATTTGTCCTCTTGATCCACAGCCTTTTATCCCACGTTTATTATTCTGTGCTCATTTTCCCATGTATTTTTTTATGGAACAACTAAAAATACCAAGACCATTGATTCAGGCACAAGATAATTCTAGTCAGGCTGCCAAGAAGAACTGAATCTTCATTAAGTCTGTGCTCAGTCATTAGTTTTCCACACATCTGTATTTTCAGAATGATGTGTTGAATAAAATGCATCATTGCACAAACATCTTTGTTGAAGATAAGGCAAAAAAGAAACCGCAGGCACTGTTACAAAGACATGCCTAAAAGATTCCCTGGGACCTTGTTAGTATAGTGATTTTTACATTATCTTTGACCTCAAGTTTTCTTTTTTTTTTTGGTACCAGGGATTGAACTCAGGTCCTTGCTCTTGCAAGGCAGGCCACCGAACTGCTGAGCTAAATCCCCGGCCTCAAGTTTTGTTTTCATTCGTAAATATTTTACAAGACTCAGTTCAGGTTACTTTCTGTTAATATCTCTAAAGATATCATGATCCTCCTAAATCCTTTTTCTTATACTTTTTAATTAAAAGAATAAAGCTAAAAACTAGACATGACACAATTTCAGTACCCCTTTAAACTGCTCTGGAAAGATGAGCCAAGTATTTATTTATCCACATACAGCATAAGTCACCCGCCCCAAGAATACACTGTGTTGGTTTTCTCTTTTCTTCCTGCCAAGAATTCTGAAAGTCCTTTACCTTGGGCATTCTAGTCATGCCACCAACAAGAATCACTTCTCCTATGTCACTCTTGCCGACTTCGGCATCCTGCATGGCTTTCTGGCATGGAGCGATAGTCCTCTTGATTAGATCAGTGACAATTCCCTCAAACTGAGCTCGGGTCAGCTTCATATTCAAATGTTTGGGTCCAGAAGCATCCATTGTAAGATATGGCAAGTTAATGTCAGTCTGGCAAAAGAAATATTTAAATGCATGTCAGTGGGAAGACCAACAGCAGTTATAAAGTCCATAGATACTAACCACTTACCAGTCCAATTATTTAAATACAGGATTACCAGAAATTGCATTTTCCATTAATTTTTATAAAGGAAATATAAAATTGACAATTTCGGTACAGTACATAAATGCACTGCCCAAGTGAGGCGGGTAGACTGTTTAGTAGTTAATAAGAACAAAGTAGAAAAAGAGGGGAAAAAAAATCCTCATTCAGGAGACAATGAGCTGTTCCACCTACACTTAATCCTAAGAACTGTACTACTGTCTTCTTTCACCAAGTTTAAAAATATCTCATATACATGAAAAATTTCTAAAATTACTCATTCGAAAAAACCTAGTACTAGTCCTAGGCTTTTGTCTGTTCCACGAAGTTTACAAGTGTAAGAAAGCTACAGAGGTGCTCTGTGCTTATTAGATGTACAAAACTAGTACTATCATTACATCCACAGAAAGCAGCTAATGGCCCCACTACGTAACACCCATTTAATAAATCTCAAATCTTGATACAACATGAGATCTTGTAATGTGGAATTGAGAATATTAAGACTTAAGAAATCCTAAACTATCCTTGTTATAAAAAACACTTGTCAGCTTTCTTGTGATTATAAACCTAACAGTTGCCTTTTTATCGGTTGTTACATTGATAGTAACATATTTTTTGTACACCACCCTAAAAAAATTGTTAATCTGGTAATCACAACTCTAACAGAGAAGGTACAATTATTATTCATATTTTGTAGATAAACACAAATGTTAAATGATTCTTAAGATCACACAGATTACTATTATTATTATTATTATTGTTTTTTTGAGACAGGATCTATGTAGTTGAGACTGACCTGGGACTTACTATGTAGACCCCAGGCTGGTCTCAAACTCACAGAGATCCTCTTGCCTCCACCTCCAGAGTGCTACTAGGATTACAGGCGTGCACCACCACGCCCGGCTAGATCACACAGATTATGAAGTGATGAAATAAGGAACTCTTGCAGTTTACCTGGAGAACTGTTTCTCGATGTTGGGAAATGAAACCAGGGCCTTGTGTGCTACCAGTGAGCTACAACTCAACTCCAGCCCCTGAGAAACAAGCATCCTAGCTCCCGTTTTGTATTGCTTCTGCTTTGACATTTATTAATGTCCATCTTCCCAAACCACACTACACTCTGCAAGATCATATGCTTCAAGGCTGGGATATAGCTCAGTAGTGCTGTGCCTGCCTGGCAAGCTCAAGGTCTTGAGTTTGATCCCAGGTACACCAAGGGAGGGAAAAAAAAGATTATATGCTTCTAGGAATTTATCATACAGATTAATCACTTACACATGCATAACGATTATCAATGTATTTTGGTACAATAGCTAAATTCTAAACTAACCAATTTAAACGATCATTAACAGGAAATAGCCATATTAAAATTAACCTCTACTAACACTTTGACCCCCTAGAGTGTGCCAAGTTGGTGGGAAGAATTAGAAACTTATCTTCTGGGCCAGGGATTTTAGCTCACTGGAGCCACCAGGCGCAAGGAGCCAAGTTCAATCCCCAGTACCAAAATAAAACAAACAAAAAGAAACTTAACTTTTGGCATTAAGTAACACATTTCAGCCCGAACTCACACCAACACGTTGCAGTGTTCTGCCATTCTACATGATGTCAGAGATAAAACAGCAACAAGGATAAGTGGACAACTTTGTCATTCCTCATAGCCATTTTAAGAATAATCAGATGAAGCTGGGTTTTAGCTCAGTGGTTCCGCTGCCTGCCTTACAAGTGCAAGACCCCAAGTTCGATCCCCAGTACCAAAACAAAAAAAAAAAGACAGGTATAGTAGCTCAGGCCTTAGCAGCAACCACTTTATCAATACTGTGACAGCTACCATAAACAACTCTTCCCTGTACTTAAACTAACAACTAGTAACAGCCCTGTTCTTCCCACTGTCATCCAAGAACCCAGAAATAGATCACTGGACTTGTGGGTCTACAACCTAGATACAGCATGGTTTATAAAATTCTGTCCTTTGTGGTTAAGGTAAAGTGAAGCTTCACTTCTGAGAAATGAAGTCAAACACCTAACACCTTAAATGTGCTGAGCAAATCTGATGTGCAGAGGAAAACTTAAAACAGATGTATACACTTCAGACTTCAGCCAAATTCTATCACAGTTTCTCACTACTAGGAATTGAAACCAGGGCCTCAGGTGTACTAACAGCGAGCTATATACCTCCAGTCTGAGAAGTATCACTCTTAACCCCTATTTTGTATTACTTCTGGTTTGACAATTAATGTCCTTCTTCCCAAACTTCATGTACTCTTGCTTTTGTTCCACACTGGTGATTCAAATTATTAAATGAAGAATCATTTAAGAGATTCACAAGGGGGCCAGGGATTTAGCTTAGTGGTTTCACTGCTTGCCTTGCAAGCACAAGGGCCCGAGTTCAATTTCTGGTACAAAAAAAAAAAAAGATTCGCAAGAAAGTGTATCCAAATAAGTGAACATAAGTTTTCTAACCTAGTACTGTAATCCCAATTCTGTGCATTGCTAGACTTGTTTGGAACTGAGGATTGAACTCAGGGCCTTGTGCAATGCTAAGCAAACACTTCTGAGCTCTGTCCCTGGCCTACTAGGAATCAATTAGGTTGTACTGGAGGGGTGTGTGTGTGTGTGTGTATACACATATATGTGTGTGTGTGTGTGTGTGTGTGTGTGTGTGTGTATACACACACATATATATATGTATATATATATGTGTATGTATATATGCATATGTATATATGTATATATGTATATGTATATATATATGTCCAGCCCTGTCATTCAGATCTTCACATTTGACTCCAGTATAAATCTCTGATTTGGTGTTTAAAAAACAAACCGATAACCTACATCACACCTTTACTCTCATGGCAAAAGTTCTTACTAAACCAGAAAATTAAAGGGGCTACACTACCATTAGACCAATTAGAATAGGCCTTTCAAATAATCTCAGGCTAAAAATAAAATATCCATCAAGGCTGCTGCAGTTTTCCATGTCTTACCTGCACAGATGAAGAGAGTTCACACTTAGCCTTCTCAGCAGCTTCCCGCACTCTTTGAAGTGCCATGTTGTCTTTAGTCAAATCAACTCCTGTCTACAAAGACACAAAATACTAACAATCAGTGAAGTGATGAATAATATTTAAATTGCAGTAACAAGGCAGAATACAAAACAGAGCTATACTTTCATAAGCAAGTATAAGCTACATTTTATTAACTATAGGGATGCTGGGGATTTAGCTCAGTGGTGCTGCTACTTGTGAGACAGGTGCAAGGTCCTGAGTTCTAACCCAGGTACAAAAACAGAAACAAAAACATAAGTATAGGGATGTTGGGCATGGTGGTGTATGTCTGTAATTCCAGCACTCAGGAGGATTGCTTTGAGTTCAAGGCCAACCTGGGCTACATACTGAGTTTAAGGCCAGCCTATACTACACAGTGAAAATAAAACCAAATCAAACAAAAGGTACAAATCTGCCTGGAGTCAGACAACTGAACTAACAGCTTTTCCCAGCTCTAATATTCTAGTTAAAAGAGAAAAGAGTTTGGGCCAGGGATGTAGCTCAGAGGTTCTGCCTCCTGCTTAGCAAGCACAAGGTCCTGAGTTTGATCCCCAGTACCAAAAAAAGAAAGAGAAAAGGATTTGCAAAATTGCTTTTCTAATACTATACACTGTCATACATTTCAAGTCATTTGTTCCCAATCTAAAGCTACAATAACCAAAACAGTTCACCCATCAATCTAAAATGCAATTTATTTTCATTTAAGAACAAAATCTGCCAGTATTGGGACTCGAACTCAATACCTTGTGCTTGCCAGGCAGGCGTGGCACCACTGAGCTACATCCCTGGCTCCAGAGCAAATTTTTTTAAAAAAGCAATGCCTCCACATTAACCACAATGGTTACTAACCTCTCTCTTGAACTCCTTCACAATGTGTCGTAACAAAGCTTGGTCAAAGTCTTCACCACCTAAGAAAGTGTCCCCATTGGTAGATTTCACTTCAAATACTCCTTTCTGAATTTCCAGGATAGAAATATCAAAAGTTCCACCACCTAAATCATATACAGCAATTCTAAAGGGGAAAAAAAGAACCTTAGGGGAAAAACTCACCACAAAGAAATTAATTTAGCTATTTTTCTAAGGTATAATTATGAAATCTTGTAACTGCCTAAGTGATATGTCTGTCAATAAATAGCCCTAAGTAACACACAAATCCATACAGAGCCGAAATGAATTCAGTTCTTAAAATATAACTGACAACATTCAATTGTATTTTGTAGGAATAACTTGCCAACATGTATGCCAATAGAACCAAGGTCTCAGTGGAATGATCTTGAATGTAAAGCCTTTCATTTGGGCAGCACTGGGGAATGAATCCAGGACCTTCACACCAAGCTACATTCCCCAGCTCCTTTTTACTTTGAGACAGGGTATGTCACTAAATTGTGCAAGCTGGGCTCAAATTTTTAATTCTCTTGCCTCACCCTTCTAGACTGCTGGATTACAGATATACATGACTGGGAAATAGTCCTGAAGAAGGTAAAGGACACATTTTTAATTTAAGTAGAAAGCTCAATCAGTATGATATGCACATGATTTAAAATAAACCTCAAGGGTTATATTAACCTTGTTTTCACACATTCACTTAGAATTTTCTTCACGAACTTACATTTTGTCTTCAGATTTATCCAGACCATAGGCCAGAGCAGCAGCTGTTGGTTCATTAATCACCCGAAGCACATTCAGTCCAGATATCTGGCCAGCATCCTTAGTGGCCTAGAGGAAAGACAAAAGCATGTTTCCACCCTTGTGTCCCAGGTACCATCCTTTCCATAAAAAAGCTAACTGACCTCACCTGTCTTTGCGAGTCATTGAAATAAGCAGGGACTGTTATCACGGCATTTTTTGCAGTGTGTCCCAAGTAATTTTCTGGAAAAGAATCAAGAATTAAGTTCAGTTATGGTATTATACCAGATAAAACGGGCAACAATTATTAACGTAGCCTTAACAACCTGTGTATCTTTTTTTCTTTGAGTCACAGACAATAACCATTAGTTTCTTAGTAAGTAATATGTAGAGGCCTTGTAGGAAAACATTCCAACTAAAGATACTTGTTCAAAACTCACCTCATCTTCTAATGTTTTAGTGAAGGTTTACACACTACAATGACCTTTAGACTTGTTTCTTTAAATGGTAGTTGTAATTTTTACTTACTGTGGACAAAAACTTAATACGCAGCCTCTACCTTTCAATACAGAACACTACCCCAACAAAAAAACAAGCATCATTAGAAAAATCTCAAGTTCACAATCTGCATGTTAAACATGCAAACTAACTTCCCATTCCTAGCGTTTCTGTAAAAACACCACAGCAGAGTATGGAGCTAATGATGAGAGAGGAAACTGCCCAAATGTGAACTAAATCAACTAACCTGCAGTCTCCTTCATCTTCATCAACACAAATGCTCCAATCTGACTTGGAGAATAAAGTTTTCCATGAGCCTCAACCCAGGCATCGCCATTGGAGGCACGGACAATTTTAAAGGGAACATTTTTACTGAAAGACAAAAATTACAAGAAAAATGGCCAGTGCAAAATATTGACAAATTTCTCATACATCATGAATGGATATCCTCCATCCCATAGACACATGGTCAACAAAGGAAACCATTTAATGAAAATCTTTCGAGTCACCAACATGTAAAAACCTCATCCCAGTGAAATCTAAATATTATTTTCCACCACGCAAAAAAAATTTTTGCAGCTACTTTGCAAGTAGTCTTGCAGGTCCATTTGAGAATGAAGCAGTTATCATATAACCCAGCATTTCTCTCTACAGGAGAGAAATGAAAACACTTTCATACAAAAATCTGCCTATAGGGCTGGTGATTTAGCTCAGTGGTGCCAGTGCCTGCGTGGAAAGAACAAGGTCCTGAGTTCGATCCCTGATACCAGGAAAAAACCACACCAAAACAAAACAACCCAAACCCACATATATATACATATAGCAACATTATTCTTAACAAAAATGTGGATATGTCCATCAGCTTATAAATGGATAAAGAAAATGTATTTATCTGTACAGAGTACTACTTGGCCAGAAGAAGGAATGAAGTACTGATACACATTACAAGATAGATAAACCTTGAACTATTAGGTTTAACTGAAGCCAGTCACATAAGTCCTCATGATTCATGTATATAAAATTCATATTCCATTAAGAACAAAACAGTTCATAAAAGGAAAAGTTAAAAAAAAAAAAAAGAAAAGAAAACTACTCAACAGGAAAAGTCTATCTATGCTTGTGTGTTTTTTGATATTGGGAATTGAACCCAGGGCCTTACATTTGCTAGGCAAGTGCTCTACTACTGAGTTACATCATCAGCCCTGGTCTAGTGTTTTAAAACCTGAAATAGGGCTGGGGATTTAGCTCAGTGGTTCTGCTGCCTGCCTCCCAAGCGCAAGGAACAAGGACCTGAATTCAATCCCGGTACCAAAAACAAACAAACAAAACAAAACAAAAACCTGAAATAAAGGAAAACTAAGTATTCTTTTCTCTGTGTGTATCTGATCAACACATGATAGAAGTATGCCATTATCTGCCTTATGCACTCAACACTTAAAAATAGTCCAAGAGTGCCTCACAAACCTTATACATGTCAATTTATAGCAAAGACCTAATACGTAAATACATAATGCGCCCTTCCCCCTTTTTTGGTGACAGGGTCTTGATATGTAGTTGAGGCTCATCTTGAACTCACTAGGTAACCCAGGCTAGCCTCATTCACAGCAATCCTCCTGATGGCTGGGATTACAAGCGCCAGCCACTGCTAATTTTTTTTTTTTTTTGGTTTTTTGAGACAGGTCTCACTATGTAGCCCAGGCTGGTCTTGAACTCACAGCGATCCTCCTGCCTCAGCTTCCTAAGTGCTGGGATTACAGGTGTGCACCGCCATGCCTGGCTTTTTTTTTCCTTTAAGTGGAAAGGAGTTACCCTTCTGGCAAGGGCATGGGTTTTTGCCCAATACATAAAGTGACTAAAGCAAGGTGTCCAAAAATCTGGTCCAAAGTGCTAAAAGCTTTCTGTTTGGCTCTTACAAATAACTTTCTATTACTCACATGTCTTTCTGTACTTCAGGGTCATCATAGCGCCGGCCAATGAGACGCTTGGTGGCATAGAAAGTATTGTTTGGGTTGGTGACGGCCTGTCGCTTTGCTGGCATACCAACAAGTCGCTCCCCATCTGCTGTAAAGGCAACAACGGAAGGGGTGGTTCTGGCACCTTCGGCATTCTCCAGCACCTAAAATTCCCAAAATAAGACAAAGATTCTAATCAATGGCATCTTTTCAGTAACTGCTTACAACAGCACCCAAATAACAAAACAAATGCTTAAGAACAGTACTGGCATGCTTTACTACTGTGAATGCTGACTTAGTTAATACCTACCATTAAAGACAGATACTTAATATATCTTGGTATTTTTAGTTTTTATTGCTGCTACATCCCATCTTTATGTTGAACATTTCACAACCAATAACAAACAAATTGGGATTAAAAACTACTGATCAGCTGTGTTGGAAAAAGAATATCTTCTTCTATGTGCAAAATTAAAACTTAAAATTTGTGGTGGACACAAATTCAGGCTGATAAAAAAAAATGTCAAAAAACATAATTTAGGGCTAAAGGAGTGATTATAGTCTTAGTACCAAATACATGAAAAAACACTCTTCTAAAACAGCTTGTTACTTTAGCGGGAGGCATGGGGGAAAAGGCATAAATATTCATGAATGTTAAGTTGAGATTCTAGAACCTCAGGTACTCTAAATCTTGGTAAAAACCCAGAAGGAATGTAGGTTTCATGTACAGAGTAAGAAGGCTTCAGAATAATGGCCTTTACATAGAAAAGATCTCTCAGATGTGGAGTTTTGCTTGCTTCTGACCCAAATCTCCCACCTGGTTCAAATGACATAAAACTCCAGGACTATGACCTAAGTACAGATCATTTCAATTCCTTCAAAAGGTAAATGTCTCACCTCTATCTCAGGAGAACAAACTTAATTCCTACTGTGGGACATTGAAGCATTCAATTAGTGGTACCTTGGTTCACAAACTTAATTTGTTCCAAGATTCTGTCCGCAAACCAAACTGAATGAGAAACAAATCAAATTTCCCCATAAGATCAACACTGAACCTAATCACTGAATTTGATTATTTCTTGTCCAATTCAGTTTGAGACCAGAATTGTGGAAGGAATTAAGTTCATGAACCAAGCTACTACTGTATCAACACCACTGTTTCACCTCACAGGTCCTAAGAAACCAAAAGCAGTGCCAGGCATGGTGGAGCATGCCTATATAGTACTGTAACCCCAGCACTCTGGGAGGCAGAGGCAGTAGAAAAGCATTTTCTTTTTCTTTCCATGGTACTGGGGACTAAACTCAAGGTCTCCACACTAAGGTATATCCCCAGCCCTATCTTGAGACAGGGTCTTCTTAAATCACTTTGTTACCCAGGCTGAGCTCAAACTCACTCCTGCTCACACTCCCAGAGTGCTGGGATTATAGATGTGCACAATCATACTCAGCTCAAGGGAAGCTTTTAAAATGAAAATCGGGCCAGGGATTTAGCTCAGTGGTTCTGCCACATGCCTCACAAGCACAAGGTTGATCCCTGGTACCAAAAAAATCAATCAATCAGGTCTTAGAATCTCTTAACTAAGTTCAAATGAATGTAATTCTGGCTTGGGTATTAGGTATGGGTAGGTGGCCCAAAGCTTCCAATCACACTTACCTTTGCTTGTTTACCCTCCATTACTGCCACACAGGAGTTGGTAGTACCCAAATCAATACCAACAACTGCACCCTTGATTGCTTCTGATCTGTAAAATAATGCCATGGTCAAATATTTTAATAGTAGTCTCCAGAATGATAGAAGGAAATACATAAAATACTTGATATGGGACATGTCAGCAACATGTTACATAATCTATACATTACTAGGTAATTATAAAGGATTAATCACATATGTAGTAGAGGCCATTACTCTGGGGTTTAACAGGTATTCTCTCAAAGAAAATGAAGCAACACTTACGCATAATCTCTCCTTGAAACAAATCTAAATGCTTCATGACTAAGGCCATTCCAGCCATCCTAGGGAAAAAAAAAAAAAATGCAAAAATTGCAACAGGCTTGTCCCAATTCTGAAGAAAACATGAAAATGTGAGCTTCATTTTGCGAATAGCTATGCTGCCCAGTGCTCAGTGTGTTAACAGGAATTGGGTAATAAACAAATGTTTTTCAAATAAACCAAAATTAACTAAGTACTGTGTATATAAAATTTTCTTAAATCACAAGGGGATTTTTCAACCTTGACATTACTATCTTGAGCCATCTTTTGGAGTCTTCCCATGTTGCCCAAGCTAGAACCAAATTTGTGATCCTCCTGTCTCAGCCTTCCAAATATGAACATTGAGGCAAATTTTTATTGTGGAGGTCTGTTCTGTACGTTGTAGAATGCTTAGAAGCAACCCTTGCCTCTACACTAGAAGCCGGTAGGTATCCCTCTTCAAATTGTGATATCCGAATTCTACACGACCTTCCCTGGGGGCAGAAGTGCAGCCAGGTGAGAAATTGACCGTACTTCTCAATGGCGGTGTACACCTTAATCTGAACACGTGTGTATTTGAATTACTCATTATCCCTGACCTTATCATGGAGTAAAAGTAGTTATTTTGAGTAATCACTTAAAAAAAAAAAAAGAAAAAGGTTTAAGTAGTGGCTTTCCACAAGGATAAAAGACCTCACAAAACGCAGACTACTTTCAAGCCTTCTGTAAGGCAGCTTAGATTCTCATTCTCCAAAGATGTATCGAGTTTATTTTAGATAAACTCCCCCACTCTATGGCCTTTATACTCTTCCAAAAACACAATAATCGTACACCTAGGACTCTGAGATATCCCTAACCACGAAAATCGGAGGTGAAATTAGATTTTCAACTTCTTACTTGGATGCTTTCCTTCCTTTATCTCATTACAGAAACAGCATACTTCTACACTCTACCTTGAGGAGACGAGGAACTACCTTTGGGAGCTCAGGTGAAAAAAACCCTAAAATAGTGACTCCCAATACTCTGCATCGCTCTCCCCAAAGCCCAATCAATCCAACCAGCCACAAAGCGGACCGTCAGAGCCGCTGCCTCTTAATTCTTTACTACTCTAGACCACGAGGGCTGTGACTCAGCAGGTCTGAAGGCACAACCCGAACAAGGCTTTCAACTGGCAGCGATAACTGAGGATACATCAGCCTCACCTTCTGCTTTTTCCAAGGAGTCTGAGCCCGAAGGGCACGGCCTCCTTACCCAGGCCCCAGCCTTTCAGGAAACCCTGGCAGTTCCTTACCTGGTGGCGGGCGACCGTGCCCCGGAAGGCGGCGGACCCTACGAGACGGACTGCTGAGGCTCGGCTGGCGCTTATCATGGCGGCTGCACGGAGGGAATACGAAGAAAGCAACAGCCGTTTAGGTGGCCGTAAACTGCGCTACACTATGGAAGCAACGCTTCTGGAAACCTCCAACCACGTGGGGGCGGGGGGCGGGTGCTCGTCACTGCAGCCTAGAGGCCCGCTCTTCCGCCGGGGCGCCCTCCGCGCCGCCTGAGCAGAGGTTACCTGTCTGCAGCTCTCGGAAACATGGTGTACCGATAATTTACCCCTTACAATGACTACTGAAAAAACTATGGCCTCTTGCTCCATCCGCGGCGGCCGTGGGAAAGGTGTGAAGCGAGGGAGGGAAAAAAGAAGGAAATTCAGGCAGTAAAAACGGCAGGCCCGGTCCTTCGCAGCGGAAAGACTCAAGGTCACACGGGATAAATTGCGAATCGATTACAGTCTCCTTGCGTCAGTTGCGCGGAAGGGAGGGCCTGTTGCGCTTGCGCAGATAGCATCTAGCCAAAGTCCCGGCGCGAGTGCGCGGGGAGTGGCGGAAAACCGCTTTGGAGACTACACCTTCATTGGGTGTCCCTAAGCGCATTCGTTTGGTTGGAGCGTAGTCGGGGAGAGCCGGGGCACGTCCTTACAGTGCGCGTGGAAGTCTCTGCTTCCGGTCCGCGTGGAGGGGGCCATTTTGTCCTGGAGCTTTGTTAATTGCAGGCTTTAATTTTATTGCTCTGTCCTAGCGTTTGTTCACTATTTGAAGTATACCTGGCTATGAAGACCTTAGACAATTTCATGCAGCATTTTACCGCAGAAGCTTCGGATTTCACATTTTTTAAAAGCAGCGTTTTCTTCACACCCAGCTTTCTAGTAGCTTTCGGGCTAAGACTGGTTATGATTATAGAGATTCTGAGAGTTAAAAACGAACAAAAAGCGCCCGCATCATCTATAAGCATTAGCTGTTATTTTCACCAGTCTACTTAGCAGTCTTTTCCCCCCTAATTTCCTCAAAGGCCATCAAAATTACAGGCTCATAACCCATTTGTAGAGATTTATATACTAAAACAATGCACGATGCAAGAAACCATAGGAATAACAAACTATGAAAGGCTGAAACAATAGAAACATTACAGCTTTATTTTATACGTGACAAGTAGGGCAGGTAAAAATAATTGGAGTAACTGCATTCTCCTAATTTTCCTAACTTTCCTCTTCTCTAGAGTTATGCAGTACCTGCAGTCAGGTTCCAGTCCCCACCTGCCCAGTGTGCAACACAAGCCAAAGAAGAAATACACTTAAGAGACAAACTAGGAGGGAAAGTAGGGTGCCAGGACGGCTAAGGCCAGTGCAACGGACAAAGGTACTGGCCAATCCCAGGCACTGGCTTTTATTGGCAATCAGCTAGGGTAAAGGAGACGACATGTGATTTCCATGGGAAAAAAAAATTTTGTTTCATCCCCGGGGTGGAACTCCAGGCAGGCTGCGTGCCACTGAGCTCAATCCCCAGCCCATTCTATGGAAGTTAATGTAAACAAGGCTCCTAAAGGACAAGACAAAGCATCCTCAAATTAGGTCTAGAATAGACAAAATATATGGTTGTAATTAGAACATTGTCATAATCAATGTTATGGTCCTCTGCGGTTGTGTTTATTATTTTTTCTTGCTTTATACACTAAAAAGTCTTAGTATTTTATCAAAGGATCCTGTAATCAAATGGTGTTATCTTTAAGTTTAGTGTAATCAAATGGTGTTATCTTTAAATTTAGGGTATCTGAGGCTCAGGCAGATATTCCCTGCACTCCGCAGGCTGAAGTAGAAAGATCCCAAGTTCAAGGCCAACCCAGACTACCTAGAGAGACCCTGTAACAACCAATAACTACTAGAATGATGGAGTGCTTGACTTTCTTGGTAATTTCCCCAGGTTCTTTGCAAATGCTCTCCATGGCCACAAGGGGGATGTGGTAGCTAGTTAGAATGAAGGTTTTTATTTGCCAATGTGTGACAGGTTTCTGGACTGCCTTGCAAATTAACATGGCTTATACAGCCTGAAGACTGGAAGAAATGAATCTGATTCTAAGAAAACATAGGGTTCAAATGAATAAGAATAGATAGTTAGATCCACAGCCAAGTGGTATAATTGTTCACTATGAAGCACAGTACTGTATTTCATTTCTCTGTTGTCATCTCAGTGTCTCACTGGGAAATGGAAGGAACTAGTGCACAGTTTGCATGAGGATAAACGTCCAATACCTACGCATGCTATATTTTTAATGATATTCTGGGGATGGGGGAAGAGTGTGGCAGCTCAGTGGTAGAGTGTGTGTTTAAATGTACAAGGCCTTGGGTTCAATCCCCAACAATGCCTCCCAAAGGTATTGTTCTAACTGATATGATTATTTAGCAACTTTGATGACAGGTAACCATTTCAACTTTCAGGTATTTAATGATCAACCATTAAAAGGAATTTTCATTAGAATAATAGTCATTAGTACAGTGGCTTTCAAGTGACTCACATGTCCTAAATGTTTTATGTACATTATGTAATGGCCCACAACTTGGTCTCAAGTAAATACTGAATTTTTTTAGATGTAAACACTGAGGCTTAGAATGGTTTGTATTTGTTACCTGGAGTTACTTAGCAATTGAATAAGGCCAGAATTTGAAGTCACCCTGTTTGACTTCAGAACCTACATTACTGACCAATAGATTCTAATGCCTCATAGCCAAACAGGATCATCTTTTACCTCTGCATTCATAAATGTAAACGCTGAGTTTTTAAATACTGGATTAACCCATTAGTAACAGCAGTTATTTTACACAGTGCTATTAAAAAGTTAGAGATATTTTAAAAACTTTAAATGTAGTTTAGTTTTCAGGAAAACCCTAAAGAAAGTGTAAGGTTGGGGATGTAGCTCAGTGGCAGAGTGTCTGCTTAGCAAACAGAAGGCCATGGATTCAATTTCCAGCAATACAAAACAACAACAAAGGTTGGGAGAAAATTTAGTCTTTAACTCCAAGAATCAAGTTTATATTTTTTAAAGCAAAGGTTTTTAAAAATTTTTTGAGACAGGGTCTCACTATGTAGCTGAGACTGACCTGGAACTCAGCCAGGCTGGTCTTGAACTCACAGCAATCCTCCTGCCTCAGTCTCCTGAGTGCTGGGATTACAGGCGTGCGCCATCATGCCCAGCACAGAAACTTTTTTTTATAAACTGGTGACTCATGTTTGATTCAGTCTCTCTAAAGATGAATATCGTGCTGCAGCACCTTCCATCTTTAGGGAATAAAAATGTAGCATACTGCAAGGATTTGTCATTTTTGTTCTCCTTGGAATTTTTCATGTTCCTGCAGCAGATTTCAGAAGCAATTCCTGTTATAGCCATTTCAGCAAAAAGAATCACTCCATGAAAGATGTCCAAATTAAAAGTCCTTTCCAGCGACCGAAGGGTAGACTCGTGTGCCTGACTCCCTTTGGCATTGATCAAGCAGGGAAGCCCAGTTTTATTTTTTTTTTAGTAGTTCAGACTTTATTTTATATGGGTATTTTTTCCCATTGAGTTTATTGGTACATTTAAGGCAAGCAACACAATTACAATCATCATTGGAATTTGTACCTTTACATGATGTATCTTGGTTCCTATTTTTTCCCCATTCCCCTGTCTTCCCTTCACCCACTTCACCCTTCCTTATTTACAAAGACTTTGTTTCCATTTTTTCCTCTTTTCATATTTTTTGTTTTCCCTTATTTTCTTAGGGAAGCCCAGTTTTTAAAGGGAAAAACCACACAATAGCATGTCATGATCTCATCTTTGAGCAAGCACAGCAGTGCAGAAGCAGATGTCACGTTAGATTGAAATCCAATTTTGGGGATCTGGCAGGAAATTCCTATCTTTATGGTTAGGGCTGCAGTATAACATGTCCTGTCCTTTGCTCTTAACCACAAGGTAAGCTATGTACTGGTTAACTTATCACTCTGAACAAGCAGTCCAGGGAGGAAAAGGGGTAAAGTTCAGGTGCAGGCTTTTGGAGGTTACTTCAGTTCCCACTTTTCCTATTTAGCATTCGCTTCACTATACTGGAGTACATTACAAGGTGCTGCTTCTCTCAAGTCTGCTTCAACAGAGCTTGCCAGGGTGAAGAGGAAGAAATATGTTGGATGATGTTTCTGTTCCCAGGGGTGATGGAAATTAGCAGCTTTCATTCTATGCTGAATTCCTAGTCACCCAGACAACCTGCCAGCCTGCTGATAGGAGAAAAGAGAAATACAGGATGACCCTGACAGAAAAGTAAGGCAGCGTTAATCAAAATAAGATGTCACTTTAATTAGGACATTTACATTCTATGATAATGCAATCATATTGTACAAGGTAAAAAGCAGTCCGTTTTGCACTGGGTTTTCATTTAGCTATGGAAAGTAGTTGGCTGGGGGACAGATAACGGATCCATGTAAGAATCCCCTAATTGAGGCTGACGAAACCTGAGCTTTGTTGTTTATAAAAATCTATTTAAATTTTAAGAACCCAAAGCCTCTCTTTTTTTTTTTTTTTTTTTTTTTTTTTGGTACGGGGGATTGAACTTGGGCTCTTGTGCTTGCCAGGCAGGCGGTGGAACCACTGAGCTACATCCCTAGCCCTCAAAGCCTTTTTCTTTTAAGACAGTTTTGCAACATAGCTCAGGCTGCCCTTGAATTCCTTTGGTGGGGGAGTGTTGAGACAGGGTCTCACTATGTAGTTGAGACTGACCTGGAACTCACTATGTAGCCCAGGCTGGTCTTGAACTCACAGCAATCCTCCTGTCTCAGCCTCCCAAGTGCTGAGATCATATGGGTGTGCCTCCACGCCCAGCTTTTCTTTTTCCCCTTTTTTTTTTTTTTTGGTTTGCCCTTGAATTCCTTCTGCTTCACCTTCCTGAGTGCTAGGAATACAGATATGTGCTACCATGCCTGGCCTCAGTAAGGCAATTTTCTAAATGTTTAGCTTATTTATTTATTTATTTGTGGTACTAGGAACCCAGGGCCTTCACACTGAGCTACATCTCCAACCCTTAAAAAACTTATCATCGGGCTGGGGATGTAGCTCAGTGGTTCCGCTGCCTGCCTCTCAAGCTCAAGGACCCGAGTTTGATCCCCGGTACCACAAAAAAAAAGAATAAAAAAAATTATCATCATTATCATTATTATTTTTTGAGACATAATCTCACTAAGTCATTAAATTGCCCAGACTGGGCTTGAGCTTGTTATCCTCTTGCCTCAGCCTGCCAGAGTGCTGGGATTATAGGCAGGCACCACCACACCTGACCCTAATTTTTTTAGTCTAAATAGCCACAATTTTTATTTATTCTTGACCAGCATGGTGTAGTGAAAAAATCCTGAAATGAGAATCGAGCCAGAACTTGAGTTCCAGGAACACACAAAGGACCCGAGAGAATTTAAAGCAG